AAATTATATTTAATAAAATATTTTATACCCCAATGATCATATAATTATTTAAATTTAACAAATCTTATAAAAATGTCAGAATAATAATATGAATAACAGTAAATTTTAGTAAATTCTTAGTGAGCGCAATATCTTATAGCAACTTTCACGTGGTTAAGTACTTGTAATTTTATAATCAAAAGTTACAAGTATTTAATTCTAATAGACAATTAAAATTACTTATATTTAATGGGAAATAGTTTATAAATTAGTTAATTTAGGTAAATATATGAGTATTTGTAATTTAAATTGTCTATCCGAAAAATAATAAAATAGACTATTAAAAATTAATTTGTATATATAATATGTGTAAATCAAAAAATATGCATAAATAATTATTTAAAAGCCAAATATTATTGTGCGCAACATTACTTATTGGGCTACAAAGCCCATTCTCTTCTAAATATTTTTGCGAGTCTTTAATAACTGGATAAGTTTCATTACGACTTCATTTTCATTTTGTATTTGCTTACATGACGATGAAATTGTGTTGTTATAAAGAGCGTGAGATACGAAAGTAGTAATAATACGTATAAGTAGCAAAATTGCCTATACATGTCGCCGTGTAAAAAAATAATACTAGTGTACAAAATTTATTTTATTTTACAATATCATTATTAAATTTATAATGTTAACAAAATATTTTTTAACAATTTAAATACATTATTCATAATTAAATAAGACAGAAGTGTAATAAAACCTTATGGCAGAAAATTCAATAGCGTTTTCTCATTAATTTACTATTTATAGTAATTAAAACAATAAACACATGTATTATTTCTACCTATGTTTTACATTTTTATATCAATAAAATGTACATTAAAACAGGTACCTATTTTTTTCTTACAAGAATAATGACATTTTATGTTAAACTCCTTACATTTTAAAAAATAGTCTAATAACTGCATAGATACTGTCTGTGATGTATGCTACCGTTTATTTTTATTTGTTCTCAGTATTCAGTAAAAGTACGTGCTTACGAACAATTTACTTCAAAAATGAACATACAAAAGCATAATAAAACTTAGGGTGCATTTTAAGTATTTTTATTTTTTATTATTCTTCCTACCTTTGTGGAAAAAATAAATGCTTATTGGCATATATGATATCAATATTACAACGAGTTCCGGTTCAGTTAACTTTAAATGCGTTGTCCATCCAATTGTATTGGATCAATATTAAGCTGCATCTGAATACACTGTCTAAAAACTGTTAAATATATAAAATATTTGTGTTATTTATTACAGCTTTCAAAGTAATTTTTAAACACTAATATGTAAAAACACTAAACTTTATGTAGTAAAAAATAGCTTTTTCTTAGTATTATTAGTGATTTATATAATGTACACCTACTTATTCTTCAAATGTTTGTATGTAGAAATCAATTATGCTGTTTATTTTTTTTTTTTATTATTATTTATAAAATATGAATAAATAAAATTATGTTGATAGTTTTTAAATTATGTTAGAATAATTAAAATGTATTCTAGTTAAATTAGAACTTATCATTATAAAATCTTCTTGAAATTTAGTGTGTCATATCTCTTAAATTATACGAATCATTATTAAGCATTGAGTAAATTACAAAATGCCTAATAAAAACTCTAAATTTTGGAAAATCTAAAATACTTTCTACTCATAACGGACAACGCACTCGTTTTTAGAAATTCTGAGTACATTTATATTATAATAAATAAACGTGTTAAATTTATTTTTAAAGTTATGACCAGAACAAAAAGAAATGGTATAATCATGTTTTATCTATGAAATTATTGAATAAGTATATAATCGTATTAAAATATAATGAAAAGCTTTCAAAGAACAGTTATATCGGTACAACCTAATCGTTTCTATGACACAGAAAAAAATATACTATATTATTACAATAAAAGCAAAACAATATCTATATTATAATTTGAATATACCTTAGTAGGGTAATTTGGAGAGAGCTGGGCCCCCCCCGCCTCACCCACTCACCTTCCTTGCGGTGGAGGAAGTGTACGGGGGGANCTTTTAAGTAATGATTAAATGTATATACACTTGAATCGATATTTAAAACAAAAATGTTTTAGAAAATGTATATATATTTATTAATGAAATGTCTTTAAAAAAATTAGTTCTCAAGGCTGTAACAATAATTGTGATTATAATTCGTTGGAAATCATAAAACTAAAAAAAACGCAAAGAAAATAAAATAAAAGTTCCATATTTTTTCTTTTAAAATAAAATTTAAATTTTACTTTTAATGTTTATTATATTGAGACTTCTTACGATTGATATATTTTTCACAATATATTTTTTGTGGACAAATTAAAATATTAAAATGCTACAGAATTTTTAAGTTTTCAATTAAATAATTTATATGGCTTAAATAGAATATCCATAAGAATTAATATTCTACTGTTTTTCCAATAGGAAAAAATCAAACCTAAAGTGTGTAAATAGTTTATTTTTTTTTTCATGTTATTCAAATATCAATGGTTTTGATCCTAGAATGGTAGAAGCACTAAAACTATTATTTTAGGTGTGGTAGAATAAATTAAAAATTTTTTTAATATTAATAAAATAATTACTATTTTCATTCTTATATCTGTTCATTATTTTTGTAAATACTTAAAATAGAGATTTAGGTGGTAAAAAATATAGGTTTCTTTGATTAATATAAGATTTTGAGCGAAATAAAATAAGACAAAATTATTTACACGAGAATAAGTTTTATATTGTCAACAATAAATTATTACAAAGATACAGCTATTTAAAACTCTGATATAATTTTGTTCATTCCTAAATAGAGTACATTCCTATGGTTTCTTAATATTTTATTGTTATGGTTTAATATGTAGTAAATAAATATATATTTCAAAATTTTTGCATTATTAAGGCTTCTTATTTTTTTTTATATTTCTATGGCTTTTCAATTTTTTACATTATTGTGACTTTTTTTTTTGTGTCTTTATAGCTTTGTATTGATTAACGATAAATTATTATACTTGTGGCTAATTATTTAAAATTATATAATTTTAATTTTAATTAATTCATTATTCATGTAATACTATTCTTTTCTGATTTTTATTCAACCACTTAATTAATCGAAAAGTAATAATAATATTAATAATTATTTTATCTGTTTCTTATAGTTCAATGTTTTTCTAAATTTATTAATTTTAAAGATTCTTTTATGTTCATAACATGTAAGGAATTAAATATATATTTAATTGATCTAATTAAAATAATGAGTTGTCGATAACAACTATTGGACCAATATTTCGGAAGTTATTGACAACTTGAATAATTGAAAATTGAGAGGAACATTGAACTAAAAGAAAAAAATAATTTATATTATTTTTATTTATCAATTAATTAAGTGATTCATGATAAGTGGATCATTCTGTATTTAGTAGAACAAAAAAGCTTTACCATCATCAATTACTGAACAATAGCTTATCACATGGATAGTACCGTATTAGATGAAAGTATATTAACATTAAAAGTTAACTCCTCGACATTTTAACCGATGACAGTTAAATTATCTATTTAAGTTCTTAGATCAATCTAAGCAACTTTCAGAATAATTAACTGTTCATTAGCATAGGCACACACTCAAAAAAAGTGGTCTATATTTTTAACAAGACCACATAATCCTATGTATTTCAATGCACTAAATTCGAATTTGAAATTATTTTAGCTCATACATAATAATTTGTTATTATTGGACAATTTTGTAATTATTTGCTAATATTGCAAAAAGGTAAAAATATTAAACAAATTTATTATGTGGATAGGTGTACTTTCATTTATTTAATGAACGCCGTTAACCCAAGGACTCTGCTAGATGGATCCGTTGCTCACCGTCACCATGTAATTTTAAATAAATTTTTTTTAAAAATTAACTAATTTTTACTTTGATTTTAAGTAAGTAATGATATAATTTCTCGAAAACGGAACTTTGAATATTTCTGTATTGTATCAATTTCAATTTCACAAGGATTTACACAATTTTAATATTTTATATTCAACTAAACACATTCATGGTGATTGATATAACGCTAGTTTTCAAAGAAGTCGAGGGTAGAACAAGACTATCCACTTCCAAAAGAAAAGCTAGAAACGCTACCTACGCAATCAAATGATATGAAACAAGTATACATGATATAGTAATTATTTTAGTAAGTCGATAAATTTAGAGTTGACACACTTCAAATAGACTAAATAAATTATATTAAGCTCTAAATACAGAGTGTTTTTAAAAGTAATAAGACAGGTCAATTGTTACAAATAGTGAGGATAATAGATACCGTTTTCCTTACTTACTAATACTTTATATATTATAATATGCTTTATAAAAGAAGTATTAAAATAACGCACTATTACTAAAAATAGTAAAAAGTAAAAATTTATACGGATTAAAATCAAATTTTTTGAAAACTTTATTCATTTTTTTTTCACCGATGGATAAAAATTGCAATTTACAAAAAGACATGCCATATTTGATATGAATAAATAGTTAGATATTAAAATTAAAAATAAAAACTATTTTTAAACAGATTAAACAAAATTAATCGATAAAAACTCTTCACGTAATAGTTGTATTTTTTGTAATTAAATTTTATTATAAAATTTTTTTAAAAACATCATATAAAACTTTTAATACAACTGTTTGATATAACTACATTTAAATATTTACTTTATATTATATAAACTGTGCATTATATTTAAACCTTAAACTTTTGAGGTAACATATTTTTACATAAAACATTTTTTTTTACTAAAGACATAGTATTAATATCTAAATATTATCATTCATATTTGTGATTATTTTATATAAATAATGTATTAAATGACATTGAAAAATTATATACGTTTGTATTTTTTAAACCAGATAAGTATTAATATGCAATTAATGAAAGTTATATACTCCAGACTTTATTATGTTACTATTTTAATTATTAAAAAAATCTTACCAACAGCATTAACGAAAAATCCAATTTCATTATTCCAAATAATGTAAATGATAAATTTTCCACGTTGTATTGAAAAAAAATTATTTCAATCTATCAAAATAAAGAAGTACATCATTTTTTATAGTAATTAAAAGCTATCATATACATAGTGCATTTAAATATTGTATATGTTAAGACAGTTCTGAAAGAAAAAGAGTTTATATTGTTTCTATTAATTAAGTCTTTAGGAACATTAAAATAAAAATCGGGTTAATTACAAATGATTAAGGTTTTTTTTAAATATTCGTGAAATTTTCAATAATCTTATAGATAGTTTATTTCTTCACGAAATAACATTAAATTATATTACGTTCTAAGCGCTCCATTAGCTAAACTTTTTAAAATAATTTCAAAAAATATTTTAAATATATTATTGTGTCGGACACAACAATAGATAGAAAGTTTTTTTTTAGGACAATCTATTCAATGTGCATTAAACCCCATTGAAATAAGAATACATGTAATATATTTCTAATACCGTAATCGATTTATTTCGCTGTTTATAGAAGATAAGCGTTTTTGTACTTTTCAAAAGTTTGAATTATATTTAGTTTTTAATTTAACACCAATTATTTACGTTTAACCAAACACCTATTGAACTAAATAGTATTTAATAAGTTATGAATGTTTTCCGGTTTTTTTTGTTAAGAAAATATTTAATTTAATATATTGTTTTTTTTTATATTGATTAAGTTCACTATATAAAAATCTAGATCGTTCTAAAATAAAAAAAATTTATGAAGATCTTTTTGAAATAAGTATTGAGTTATTCTTAATTTTTTATCGAGAAACTTATTATCAACCATTACATGTTACCTATTTTAATGATCAAAGAAAAAACTTTGAAGTTAGATATAACTTCAGTTTGTTTTTGTCAAAAACTTTTAATTGTCTTTTTGAAAGAATTTAGCTTTTAAAAAGAGACAGAAGAAAACAACAAGTAGGGTCATGAATTCGCTTAGATTTACTACTCATCGACAGTTCTGTTGGGATGAAGAAATGTTTTTTAAAAGACACACTACGATGGCTCACACATTAATCAAGCAACATCGAGCAACATCGAAACAAGAACTGAATGTTGTAGGTAATGAATAAATACACACCTCTTCGATATCTTTGGGTCCCACACATGACGTTCGTAACTGACCTAGTTTTCGGTACACGTGCAGAGCCTGAAAATAAGACAAAATATTCTAGACAGGAGTTCAAACTTATACAAATAAGTTCGTTTCAGACGTGCAGTGCACAACTTTTGAATGAATACATTTGTATTTGTTAATTACAAATAATACAATTTTATTTAATCTTCAGTGCAAAGGAAAACGGAGCAAAGTGGGTACACTAACTAAAATGGTACAGCTCGTTTTCTTAATACACAGCGTACTGAAAAATATTAAAACTTTCTCAAAACATTTATATATATTAACTTCTTTTAGTACAATAAAATGTATAATAATGGATGAACTCTAATAAGTAGTATGTTATATTAGACAAGAACAAAAAATAATCGTGCAGGTGACTTTTTATAGTTATTTTAAAAAATACAATTTTTGTAAGTAGGGATTAAATATTATAATATGCATATTAAAATATGACAAAGTAAATTAACTTTAGAGGATGAAATATAAAATAAAAACATTATTTATCATTTTATTGACCTTATTTATACNGAAATATAAAATAAAAACATTATTTATCATTTTATTGACCTTATTTATACTTAATACTCACGTGAAGGAATTTAAAATCTTATAAAAAATAACAATTTTTTACATCAGGTAAAATTTTGAATGTATATATTTTACTTGTTTATGAATGTGTTTAAAAGTATCTTGTTATGTAAAAAAATAATTTTATAAATATAATATATTTATTTTTAATTTAACTATTATTTTAATTATTCGTTTAATTAATTAATTAATTAAATTTTATCTATAACATAATCTCTAACAATGAAGTATTGGAAAAATTCAAAATCCTTTTTTTAGAAGTATTATCTATGTATTTATCTGTAAAATATATAAAAACGCTGTCTATTAAGTTAAGGACTAGATCTCATACATTAATATTTGTAATAAACTAAATATTTATAAGGCATAACCTTTTTTAATGCATAAATTTATATTATTATTATTCAATCACGTGCAATAATAAATTGCATTGATAATATATAAAGATTATTGCTATTTTAAATGTCAGTTCTATGATTAAACATAAAAAATATAGATATAAAGTTATGAAATCAATAATTCGAATAAAAACAAAACTTTTGTGTACTGTGTATATGACACACCTGATTGACAGTATAATGAGCTGCTCCGCAAATGATGTTTAGCCGCCATAAAGTATTTAGAAATCGCAAATTGAGAATCACTGTCCATGGTATTCCCAACGCAAATGTGTGAAATACAAACAAATAAACATTGACTAGTACGGAATAAAAATGTAACCCAACTATTAAAAACAATTGGCTCGAGTATGATTGATTTATTTTAGTCGATATTTTGTTTAAATTCATAAACTCCATATTGGTTTTGGATAAATTTTCAATACCTTTGTTATGTTGTATAGTTTCTAAAATAAAAAATATAAATATCCAAAATATAAAAATATGTAAAGTTATAAAAATAGTTTATAATAAAAATATAGCATATAAATAGATTGTCCTGATAGATTACAGTATTGAGTGTAAAAGGTTATTGTAATAATGTTTGAAAATTAAACTTTTTCTCCAATATTTTTAGTTAGATACCTTTTTTAAATTAAAATTCTGTTTATTTAGGCTATATTCGCTTACATGGTACTTTACAAACATCATAAAGGTCCCAGTAACTTCCATTGTATGAAAAATAATAGATAAATCAATAATAATTAGTGATATATTCTACAATTGACAGTGTCATACTGTGTTTGATGTATGTGTTAAATGTTGATGGACGAGCTGTCATATTTTTACTAGTGGTCTTTATTATTGATAAAATCATCAAGGATACAGAAAAACAGCTTTTCTTGCGGTTGTCATTAATTTAAAATGAGCTCAGGTGTACACAGAAACGCGCATCGTAGGGCAAGATGACGAATTCAATATTTCTCAAAATCAATCACATATAGAAGCACATCCTGGATATCATAAAAGCCTCTTACGGTACACTTTATTACTAAATAGTACTAAGACACGTGTGCGCACGTTAATTTAAGTTGTGATTAGAAATTTGTATTTAATGTATTTTGATGTAATTTTTTAGACATTGAAATTTTAGATATTAGCGTGATAATAGAAATGTTTCAAATTTCTCTCATAAATATTCTAAAAGTATTACTTAATGTCTATTAATTTATAAGTATCCGTTTCTTTTACGATAGTTACGATTATAAAGTTTTACAATCTCCCTCCGTAGCTAAAGAAAGATGATAAAAACAACGTTTTTCAAGAAAAATCATATTTTATCCTTTTGAAGATAAAAGAGACGATTGAAAAATATTGTAGTGTTGGGCTAGATATTAAAATAATTCTCATGCAAATTTCAGACTTTAAATTCATTCATAAAAGTCAGGAAAAATCGTTGAAGCTTAACCTTCTTACCCCGCCATACTTTAATACATATAGTCAATGTCGTTGCTACTTGCATAACGTTTGTTGTTCTTGTATAATTAAGGTGCAGAAAGTTCAATAATATCCATATTAAGTTACACACTTAAGCCATATATAATTAAACTTACAATTCATTTAAGAGTTGAAATCATGATATTTTTACATTAAATATTGTTATAAAATATATGACTTTCCAATCTATAGAAAAAATCGATTAACTACTATAGTTTAAAAATGTATTTCGAAAAAGACATACAGAACATACTAAAGTCGATAAAAGATTATTCTTAAAAAAATAAAACAATGATTAAATTTCGTTAGGTATTTATTTTAAGAAATAATTTAATGCAATAAACTAAAAAAGGGTTAAAATTTAAGAGTAAATTTAATTTACCCTTAAAGTAAAATATATGAATATATTTATATATATATAAAAGAATTATTATCACTCACTTTTAAAACGATACACTAATATGAGGTTTTTATTTAGTTTTTTATACATAGCAGCTGCACGAATGCAAAGATCAAAAAATTGTAAATCTATGCTGAACAAGCACACTCTTGAAATACCCTGGAAATGTTTTATCAATAATAAAATGCATATTGTTGTTAACTTCATTCCCCTTTTTTTTGGGTTTTCATACTAAATTAATATGTAATTCAACCTTGTTATTAATTTATAGGTTTATTTGTATCCATTTAAGACCATTAAAAAAATACAGAATAAGTAAAATTATAACTATGTATTATTCAATTACAGTATAAAACATTTTCACTGACTTTCATTTTTTGCATACATATTTTATTTAATAATTTAAAATAAATATGAGTAAACAATTAAAATCAAGTTAATCATCTTGAGAGTACGTAGAAATATAATTTAATAATGTTATAAAAAGCATTATGAAAATCACTACATTTGCTTAATGAGGTTACTTTAATGGACATCGTTAAATAAAACTGTAGTTTAAAGTAAAAATCTTCAAGATTATTCATTTAATTCTATTAAACTCATATTCTCAAAAGTGCCGTCAAAAATATATGGTTTTTGACTTTCCTTCAATAAAGTATTAAAAAAACTCCTCTAAGAAAAGATTATATCCATGAAATGCTGTTAGATAAACTAAAGATTAACGCCATTAGCTTAATTTATAAGAAAGACGAAAATTCTTTAAAAAAGCCGTTTATGTATCTCTCTATATTGAATACATGCTATTATTTTCAATAGAAATATTTTGGTAGTTATTTTTTATCATCCGTAGGAAACTCTTACCTCTAAATAGAATATCCATTTAGGTGTAGAAAGACTTTGCCATTGATAATCAAATATAACTTCAAATATCGTAAATAAAACTCCAACTAAAGCTGCTATTCCAGTGTAATATTTCGGAGCTATCATTAAGTATTATTTAAAATATAAATAAAAAACATTAAATCGATGACACCAAAAACTTAAAGTAATTACAAAATATAAGTAATTAATTATATAATTTATAGTTTATATTAGACAGTATGGTATTTTATTTATGTTTACATTTTTTTTTTTTTTAATAATTTTCAATCTTTATTTGAAACTAACCTTTACAATTTATACGTTCTTCGAGTAAACGGACATCATTAATAATATTTAAAATATCGATTGATTTAATGGCATGGATAATAATGATTAGACTTTTTAAGTATTTTGTCACTAAAAATAAAACCGTTGCTTTTGGACCAGAACCTGTTTCAAGCTAATAACGTTCATGTTAAATTTATTAAAACATAAAATATAGTATATTTAGATCAAAACAGAAGAAAATCAGAAATCATAGTTTTTCTTTTGACTAGCTATAAAATGTTTTACACATTTGAACAACCGAATAAATTAAATGAATTGATAATTGAATCACTCTGAAAATATAGTATCTATATATCTATTTGTCAATTAAAAATAATAGTTAATATTTTTCAATATTTTCATTAAAATAATGTGATTTTTTTTTCTTTGTTTCTGTTTTGAGAAATACTGTGTAAATGGAACAAAAATAACTTACATGTTGAGCTTTGATTCTGATCAATATAACAGGATCCGGATCCAAGTAAAGTATGATAACTATCCAATAAAGAGCCAATATACATTTCAAAAGACTTAAACGTAATAGTTTTGAAACCTTACATAATAACAATAATGTATTAATTTATACACTGTTTTAATTTAATATTATGTTCAAATACTATTTTGGATGTATCACCATCAGAAAAAAACAAAGATGCAATGAAAGAAAATAGTAATGGTAGCACTTAGCCTAATAGACTATTAGACTGAAAAAGAGATATTTTTTGCTCTGATTACGTAGTAAACTTCAAAAGTCATTTTCAACTAGATTTAAAATTACAAAATCTCAAAGTTAGTTAATACTACCATTAATTCGTGTGCACTACGCTACTTCTTATTAGCTTTTTATCCATTCCAGATTTCATTACTACTAATTGTATCATGTTTTTGTTAAATTTCATAAAGTTTAGGCTTGAATTTCATAAAAGGTAACATTTTAATCCAATATTTATAATTAACTTTATTTATCAAATGTCCTTTCTATTTTTAACCACTATGAACTTTTCAAATGTTGATTTCGTGTTATTGTGGTAAATAAGAAAACAAAAATTTTAAATTTAGAGCATACTACAAAAATGATACATTCCACTATTTGACATTATTGGATATTATTAATGATTATTAATGTTTGAATACAAGTAAATTTAGTACCATAACATTTTGTCGTAATTAAACTATGATATATTTACCTACAAAATAAATGATATTAATCTTAAAAATGTATCCCATATAAGTATTTAGGAATAATACTCTTTAGATTTATCTTTTAATGAACATATCTCTGTTATTTACAATAAAGCATTACGCTTGTTGGGATCTATTAAAAGAAATTGTTAGGAATTTTTTAACCCTTATGTTTTAAAAGTGTTATATTGATCACTTGTTCGTTCCATTGTTGAATATAGGTCTGTTTTTCGGTCACCATAACAAGTTAATCTCAAAGATAAAATTGAAAAGTTGCAGGATATTTTTATGCGTATGTGGGATTTTAAACAGAATAACAGTTATTAGAGTTACTCTATTAACACTGTGAATCTATATGAAAAGGAATCAAACTTAAAAATAGCTTACTTACTCAACGACAGTGAGTGTTTGATGTGAGTTAGATATATGAGTTAATAAATAATAAAACTGACTGTCCTGAAATTCTTGAAGCTATCTCTTTCAATATATACTTAGTCAAGTTACATTCCAAACAATTGTTTTATATTACAACAGCTATTCAAAACTACTGTTATTACGCGTTGACTAACCGAATGATAAGAGAATGAAATGAAATTTGTGATCATGTTGATTTGTTTTTTGTACTCGTTTGTCATAATAAAACGTTTTATTTATAAAAATTAATGTAACTAAATATTAAGCACTTTAATCAATTATATTATGCATTTTTTTTTTATGTCTACTGCTTAATTGTTTGTTATTCAGTTATCTGTACTCTATACCCCTTGAGCGTCTTATCATTTAAATAAATAAATATTTAATGTATTATTTGGGATTTCAGCTTTAAAGTGAACTAATTAACTACTTTGGATTACACAGAACTGCCTTTGATGAATAGCCTCATATATCGCTCTCAATAGTCCTGTATGTTTATACATGCTACTCGTAAAAGATTTAACTACAGTATAGTACTTCATTAACGAATCAAATAATTGGGAAATATATTAAGTAGTTAGAGAAAAAAATGATAACATTTTAAAATAACTTAAAAATGATTCTAATCACTCATAATTATCAATTTATGAAAATAATAATTTATTGAAAATAAAAATATTTAGCATAAATTCAGGGGCGTATTCACATATTTTCCACCTATTGGCATTTAAAAATTTGCCGCTTTTCATTACGTTATGACGGAGGGGGCTCATTTTTATATATTTTTGCCATAACACTATTAATTCTTCCCCCTCAAAAAAGAATTTAAAAATATTTTTCAAGCAAATCTATGTTTATTAATAAATCAGCAAATAAATTGCATATAGCTATCATACATATCATAAATGCACAATAAACGAAAACAATTATGATAATTATTAGGAAGTGAGTATGTCATAACAACAATAAAAAAATAACTCACTTTTTATAAATATGTTGACATTGAATATTTGCCGTTGTAGGCAGTTGCTTATATTGCCTTCATATAAATACGCCGCTGCATAAATTAAGTTAAAATATCCATATAATTAAGCTAAACAATTTCTGATTTTTAGAGTGAAAAAGTTGTCAGTAAAAAACTAAACCAAAGTTAAATACTGTACAGATTTAAAAAAACAGATTAAATAACATTAACTTTATCTATGCACTTATGTCAAATTAATGACAAATATTTTATGTTTGTAGCTAAAAAATTATTTAATAACTGAAAACATATCAACTTTCTTGTTTTTTTTTTAATTATTATGAGGGTTTTTTTTCTATATTTATATGAAAATATGGATTAATTTTTTGATTACATATTTATTGGGGAGACTTGATGGTCACATTACAAGAAAAACCTAAGCTCGTTACAGTTACACGTGAGGAACACGATTTTTTCTTAGATCAAGTTTTAAATATTATTCGGTTAAAATTACCAAGAACTCTCATTTTAGTGTTTTCTAGGTGAACTATTAGTCAACATTAAATTAGTGTTAGTTAATACATATAGAAAATACACTTAATAAAACAACCATACTTAAATATTTTTTAAAGTAAAAATAAAATAATAGTTTTTATTTAAAAACTAAATAACAATAATACTTAGAGAATGTATAGATAAAAATTATGATTATAATTATTTACAACTTATTATTTTAAATAAGATAATCAAAACAATTACTAAACTAATTTTTTGTCAAACATGATTTTGATTCTAATTTTAATGTCAAGTAAAGACTCATTATATTATAAGCAAAGATATAAATAAAACATACGAATATCACGCACAAAATTATTTCTCATTAGATTTCATATCTTTTTTTTTATTTCATCATCTACGATGTATTATGTATAATGATTACAGTAGTTTATAAATACCTATATATTAAGATTATTTTTTTAATAATGCAAATGCTTTTCTGAGCTTGATTAATGTCATAAAAAACCCCCTAGGGTCAAAGTATTATTATAGATTTTGTTTTTCTGAAAACTTGCTTACATTTTTCATCCGAGTACTACAACTAATATCATTATTTATGTACTAAATATAAAAAGTTAAATTTTCAATTTATTATTAAGTTACTTTTTTGTGGCATAAAAGTTTAAATTAAATATTACACTTTTTCAATTATTTAAATTATATTAGGTAATTTTGTTTTAGAACAACAAAGAATGCTTTATATTAATGTGAGTTAGTAAATGGCATATGACACAAATATAGAATTCTTAGAAATTCATGATTTATATAAGATAAATTATTTTTTATCAAATGTGTTCTTTTGCATCAATTTCGACGATAATAAATACTAAGCCATTCAAAATACAGTTGAAATCATAGCTGTACAATTATGAAATTGCATATGACTTAATTACTCGTTTTTTTTGTTAATAAATAAAGCAAAATTATAAAAAACACGATGCGAAAAAGCCTTAAAAATTTCTAAAAAATATAGGTTATTTTTTCATCACTGTAGCGACTAAATTATTTTATTTTAACTTAAATCGATAATAAATTTATTTTTTAATACATAAATTTTAGTTATTCAATTATAGCATAAATTTTTCATTTTTAGGTAGTCTAAACTCTTAAAAACAATTGCGATTTATGATCAATAAATATATTATTTTATAAACTCAAAGAAAACAAAATGCATAGTTTAATGTTGTTATTTGGAGTTTTCAAATTAATTCCAGTTATAAAATGATTTACATTTGATTGGTGTTATGAAGATGAAACCAATCATTAATAATATTTATTTGAAATAAGATACTACATGGTTAAAAATTAATTGATAAATATTTTTGTATCATTAAGAAAAAAAAATGTTTTGAAGGTAGTTATATCTTACATAAAGTTCTTAATTTTATGCATAAGTAATATACTTTGTAAATTACATTAATAAAATAAAATTTATGAGCTGTTGAGTTTTAAAAAAAATACAAAAATATTAGCTTTGATGCAAAACTGAGAAGATATTAATTTTACTACAATGTGTTTATTTATTTATAAGAACCTTAGGTAATTTCCTTTTATTTGTTATAAGCTTTTTGAAAATCTAACGCATTATCTGTGCATGGGAGATTTAAAATAGCGACATTTGCGTGTAAAGTTAACCTTTTTAACTTAACTTTTGAAAAACTTTCTAGAAATATTCTAAAATTTAAACAAAAGTTAAAGAAGCTTATGATAAAAAATTAAAAAAAAAAGTTATTAGACTACTTGTTTTCTCTATGTAAATAGCCTCCAAACTAAATAAAAATGTTATTTTGTTCTCAAAAATCGCCGTTTATCATGTTGTTATATATTTCTACTTGAATTATTAAAGCCTATATTTAGGTCAAACAGTGTATTCATATAAGAATGAGTGTAAAGTACTATTATTAAACCCCCAATTTTACAAAACAAAAAAAAACATAAAATGTTTCTAAGTCTTAGTTATCAATTTTTTCGTAGATTTTTTGCAGCTTTAATGTCAGTCTAATAAGTATATTAAAAATAAAGAGGCTGCCTTTTCCAAAAGAAATTTTCTAGGTACCAATGGCTTATAATAAATTATAATTTGATGAATTAAATATGATTTTTCAAAAAAATTTTATGAATGATTTTATCAACTTTTTCCTAAACATTAATTTTGTTCCACTTACTTTAGTATAATCATGAGTTATCTTTACAGGATATGTACCAAAAATTGACGATAAAAAAAATAGCCACTCTACATTAGATGCCATAACGTTAGCAAATGAATTTACCCACTATTTTTTTTTGGAGCTACTAAATAGACACTCTTTATTACAACAATATTGTATTTGTAATGAAAACACTTCCTCTTTCTAATGTCATAAATTCAAGAATAATAGATAACATAAAAAGGTGTTAGAATAACACGCAATTACTCAATAATTGTTGTTTTAGTTTATTTATAAATAATATTACAGGTATATAGTGGATTTTAAAATATTAGGTTATCCTTTTAATTAGTAAAATGAAAATAATAATGTACTTACAAAATATTTTTACCTCTATGTTTGCGGACATTTTAATTTTATAAACGTTTATAATATTTATTAGATTAAATGTGTATTTATTACCTCTCACATATCTACCAAGTTATAATTTTATTTATAATAATATTAATATAATTATCATTTATCGTTATTATAACATATAATATTATATTAATCTTGAAAAAAATTTTTTTATCATTACTTTTTAAAAATATTGTCATATTCATGTAAATTTATAAGTTAAGGTAAATTGATCCTTTTATAGAAATAAAAAGTAAATTTGATAAAACTTGATTTACGCATTTAATATTCAAGATAAATAATATTTTTCTTCTCTTATCATTAAAATTTACATGCAAATTCGTCAACAACTTACTTTTAATGCTTTTGCCACACGATTTTTTTCGTGATATACATTTTATAACTTAATATTAGAAAGAACTTAAGAATTTATTTTACAACGATAATTGTGGAGATCATGTATTACATAGGCTTAAGGACATTTTTAGTACCACTTCCGATATTTCTCAAGAGGATTTTTTTTTTCTTACTTAAAAATATACTCGAAAATGTATAGTTAATCCTTTGAATCACGACAACTGGCATAGTCAACAGAATCAACCGTGACCGAGATTAAAACCACCGATATTATGTGTCAGACACAACTATATCTTATTTCAGCAGTAAATTTATCAGGTATTTTTTGCATTAAATTTTCAGAACAAATCAAGTGTACTGAATAGACATCTTATTTATAACAAATCAACTATTCGTGGTTATCTATGTTCATAAAAATAACTAACACAAATTAAATAATCTGTTTAAATAAATACCTTATGAACGTAATAAATATTATTGAAAAAATAAGCTTATAGACTAAGTTTAATTATGATCACACATAAATCATCCTAAATCATATGAATGATTAAAAATTAAAAAAAAAAAAAAATTTCTAAAAAGAGAACGAATAAACCTCATGAAATTTTGAAACTTTTATATAAAACGTTTCAATTTTTTTGTGATATGTCAATTGATGTAGTTTTTCATATCAGTACGAATATTAAGTTTGGAGAAATGATAAAATTAACTTATTTCCCTTAATAACATTACACTGTACACATATGTAATAAGTTATTTACGATGATAACTTTCTTAACCTCATTGTATAATACACAACTAGTTTAACAAGAATGTTTTTACCCTTCTTAAGAAGGTTTTAAAATCATAAAAATCAATACATAAAGTCTATGTATATATTGATTTATAACACTGTCCAACAAAATTGAAATATCTAATGTTTGGTTCGTTCAAGTTTTGAATGTAATAATCATTTGTACATACGTGAGTTACTGGCACTGCAGGCATAGACGCTGTTCGGCCACGATCTGTGATCGTCAATGACCGTTTACTTCTAAATGCAGTGGAACGTTGCAAACTTCTTCTTGGTGAACTGCCGGATGTCCGGACTCGCATAGATTGACTGGTTCCTGGCCTTAATGTTGTTGGTGGTTGCATGGAGGAATTCAATGAGGGTGCCCATCTTGTAGGGGATGGACGTCGCAAATGATGACCTAAAATTCTTTTCTCTTCAAGAATAGCTTCGGGGGGTGGTTCGTCATCGGGTCGGTAATCATTATTGTAAAACGTCGTCAATGGTGACGTCGTCCTGGAAACAAAATCATAAGCTTTATTTTAGTAAATTTATATGAATGACGATTAATTGTTACACAGAACTAATTATTCCTCTATAATTTTACTAAAATTTGTACTTAAATCTAAACAACTACGTGAAAATAAATTTGAAATAAACATTAAGTTTATATAGACTGTTTTAACTAAAAGCTGTAGCTGGGATGATTGAGAAATCAAATATTTATATGAAAAATTATTCTTCAGTTTTTAAAACGCAATTAAAATGTGCTGTTAAAACACAACTTACTTACAGCCGTATAGTAATTGTAAATCAATCTTCAGAATGTTATTCGCATAGGGTTATTTTTATAATACATTTTAAAAAAATGCATTGTATTAATTGTTTTACTAGATATTATAATAAACATGAATGTTTGATAAATATTTCAGATAAATAATTAATTTATAATTTAATATTGTAATAAGTTTCTCTCTGCAAAAAATCATCGATTTCATATTAATTCATTCATTACTTCTTTAAGTATATAGTAAGTTTCATAAAGTGGGATTCATATTTGTAAGCTGTGACGTATATATATTGTAAGGTAAACCATCAAATGTAATTTTAGAAATAACAAAATAAAAAATATAGGTTCATATTAAAAATTCAGGATAAATTAGTGTTGCAACCAAATTTGGAATTTTCTAATCATTTATCAATAGTTTCATGCGAAACTAGGAAGATATTATTGATGATATTATTTTATTTTGAACGACGAATTAATTCAAATATATTTTTAAATAATAAATATTAAGTAAATAATTACTCATCTATAATTTCCAAAATATTAATGCAATTATTATGATCATTGTGGTAACTAAAAATGTATAATGAGTGAATGAAATACCATTTAAAAAGAGTCAATTAGTCATAAATTTGGTAATCGGTTCCTTCGTTGATAAACATGTTTCTATCTAAAATGATCGAACTTCTATACAGATAATACATATTCGGTATTATTTTATCAAGAAGTGTGTCTCTAATTCTAAATCCTCGAAATGATAGTAATATAAAATTAAAATAATAATTGGATAGACACCTGTCGATTAAATTTTAAAATAGTACATTTATTCATAAATTGAAGAATGCTACTTCGTTTTATACTATAATAAATTCTATATCAAGCAAAATTAATTATTGAAAAAAAATGAGTTTATTTTGCTTTCTATTAAAAATTTAAGTCACTATCGAAATAATAAACATTATTTTAGAAAGTATTTTAATGTAACTTAATATAATAATAAAATTTTAGTTAAAATTAAGTGATCCCAAAAATGTAAACAGACATAAATTGGTTTAACTAATTGTATTAACATTCTTGTAATGATAATATTTACTCGGATGACACAGCTTCAATGAGTTTTGTGAAACATTAAACTAATATCTACGAAAATTAACTTGAAAAATATTTGATAACCTTGATAAAGATTTTCTATTTTACATTATCTCTATTATTATTAGATCATTTCTCAAAAAATATATAGATATGTGTATTTTTATAATAAACAATTTTTAAAACTTTTTTTCTATATTATATTTATGGAATTTTATAAATAAAAAGTTTTTTACGTAAGGAAATCTTATGACAACTTCGGAAGTTCATTTTCTTTGATCGATCGACACCATATTTATTTTATAATTGACTTACATTTTTTCAGGTACAAATAATAGTAAAAATTTCCACTCCAGTAGAAGGGTCAATAGAAATTTGAGGTGATTTATGGTTGTCGTTGATACATTTGAAACGATCGTTAACTTTCTATTGCATTTTCGTTTTCCTTATTAGAGTAATCATTTATAAGACTTATTTATTAAAAAATATACAGGGTGTTCAGTAAGTCAGGAAACGGGTTACAAACAATGAGAACAATAGAAACCCGTTTCCTGACTTACTGAACACCCTGTAGAATAAGATCCAATGTCAATCTTTACAACATGAATCTTATATTATACTAATTAACACTTTGAATTAACAATCTCATAAATTAAAAAAAAATCATTATTTCAAATAAATAAAATTAATTTTCAATTTAAAATATAAAATTATGAAAATAATGAATTAAATGTCTATACAGATATATTACTAATAACAAATAATTGTCAAATTACTTTTAAACAATGCGTTATTTACTGTTAAGGTTTGAATAAATTTAAACTCAGTAAAAATAAATGATAATTTTTAAAATAAATTAATCGATATATTTTTCTTTAATATTCTTCAAAATCTATTTTATTATAACTTACAAAAAAATCTCGAAAATTGTCTTCTTGTTTTTCACTTTGTTGAATGTAAAAATATTACTTTTTATGTAGATCAAATGTAACTTTATCATCACGAAGTATCTCATTCAAGTATTTCTTGGAATATGGCATAAATGGAAATTCTGGACAGCCAAACGACAAGTGGAAGTCACTTGAGAATACTTAAAATTGTTCTTTTGTTCTTTAGAGGGAAAAAAATATTTTGTTATCATTTTTTACATGTTCCATAGTATACAGTGTGATCGATTTTTTATAAACCACTCGGTTACTCGTAATTTAATAAAATATTGAAAAAAAAATGTTTTTTTTTTTAGTTACATATATATTTCCTAATTTATTAACTACTCATTGCTTTTTAGAATTTTCCCTTGTAATTTTTTGAGGGCGTTAATTTCATTTTTTTTATTGTAGCTTACATGATTAACTAGTTTATAATATAAAGTTTCGAACCAGTATTTCAAAGGTTATTCTCATTTTTATATTTATGTGAGAGGAAAAGTACGGCCGGGAAATGGGTAGTGATAAATTTATTTTAGGAGTAATTGAGTGTTTTATGATGAACCAATCATTTTGTATATGTAATAGTATTGATTTGACATCAAAAATTACAATTTTTACTAGTAACAAAATTACATATTATTATGTACTTTTTTACTATTATAAAATTTAACTTACGTAAATAAAAATATTGTTTTAAAGAACTTGTTATGCATAAAAATATATATTTATTGTCATATAGAAATGAAATAACGAAATTACAAAATGAATTCTATTTTATTTTTTCATTGTAAGTTATGCGAATAAATGCCAAAAAGAAATACAATCAATAAACTCAATAAGCGAGACATTTCATTATTTTTTTCTTATCGAGCTTGGGAAACAAATAAAACCAATCAAACACTTTTAGGTCCCCAAATCCAATATCACTTAGAATGAATTGCTGACTGTAAATGTATTCTACCGATTCTAAAAGAAAAATTCGTTTTCATTAATGATACCTTAAATTGGATAGATGATAAAAGATTTTTAAATTTTCTCCTTAATAAGTAAATCAAGTCATAAATATTTTAATAAAAGATAATTTTAATATATTGTGGTTGAAATAATAATTTAATTTAGAAGCCAATAACTTCTAAATCAATCTGGTATACATAGTATAAGTAATCCTGATGGCTATATTTTGAAATATTTTGAATGGACATATTTTGATCAATACAGAAATCGACTAATGACAATTACACAAAATCTGGATGTAACGTATAAAGAACGAAATGGATTACATTTTTGAAGTAATACATAAATATATAATTAAATATTTTTACATAAAATAGTAGAAATTGAACTTAGTTAATTTTTCTGATAAATACCTTCATAAATGTCCAATTATATAATTAATTATTTAGCCTGGATTATAGACACTAATAACTAAAACATAAATTTGGAGTAGAAAATAATTATAATACAAAATATAGTGACTTTTTAAAAATAGCATTTTTTGTTTAACTTCTGTAGCTGTTTACATATAAAAGTTGTCCGGTCAAATTTTCTTTTTAACTTAAATATATATATTTAAAGGTTACAGGTACTTGGTGAATTGTACTTAGTATACAAAAGTTAATAAATTAAAAACCCTCCTATACATTTAAAAATGGTCAAATTTTCAACAAAAATTACTTACTGGAAACCCTTTATATTAAACGAAAGAGACGTAGGTTCACTCAAAAAACATCAATGTCATAAGACATTTCAAGACCATTGTACATAAAAATAGACTTAGAAGAAAAAAAAAATTAACAGAAATCTCATAAATTTTTACATAAAAAACTACCGAATACTCAAAGAAAACGAGTTCTTAGAACCTTTTTTCTTATATTAAATTAGAAAAAATGTTATACCTTGAACTTCTTTGTACTTTGTCTTACTTAAATAACGTCTAAAATTTTACAGAAAAAATCAAAGTATAGATTGTATACGACTTATATTATATAACCTCATATACAATTGCTTCTCTATGTATAAAATAAAATTTAAATAATACAAATTAAAATGAAATAAACATTACGAAAAATTTGATAAGTAAACATTTTTTTTTTTGAGAAAGACGTAGTTTTTAATAAATTATTTCATAAAATAAATATTACAACCATTATGTATAAAATTAATTTTTTGTCATGTTTTGAAAATTCAATAAAGCTTACCCAAATTTTTAAAAGCCTATTTATAGTTGAAGCTACCAATCTTGCTTTTCTTTTGCTATGTATTTGTTTGCACATTATCAATATCTCTATTTTAATTGTAAATGAAAATTGCTTAATTAAACAGTTAGTGAATGAAAATTAATATTATGGGAAGCTCATAACACCGATGATGTCAGAGTAAATATTTACGTTTGTATACCCCCCTAAAAGTTTTAAAAGCAATTTCTTGCGTAAGTTGTTAAAATGTTTTTTTTCTATTAACTAAATAACATAAGACAGAGTTTATTAAAACAAAGATAAATCATAAATTAAAACAATCTGTATATAATAAATCATTTCGGTAAAGTTTGTTTTACCGGAAAACATAATTTCAAAAAAATGTTTCCATAAATCAAGTCACAATTATGGTTCAATTTGTTACATGTAGTGTTGAACTAACTTATCATAAAAATGATACGAAGTTTGTTAAAAAAGCTATACTTCCAAATAAATAAAATGGTTAAAATGTTTTTAATATGAAAATTTGTCAAATTATGGCTTTTAAAGTTATTTTAAACTATGCATTGTTTTTTAAAACTTCAATAAATATTGAATATATGCAATTACTTTTAATAAAATGTCATTTGATTAATTGTGAGTTATTTTTTTGAGGATAAAATAATTTAAGGTAATTTTTTTTAAAGAAGTAAACAACTATTTCATCGCATAAAATATGACCATGTTTTATAATTACGACTGAAAATGATGTAATTTCCATATTAACAGTTTTTACTAAAACTTCGCGACACTGTTAAAAAGGGCAATGTTAACTATTATGAAACATTCTATGAACTAGATAACATTAAACAATTTATTTTAGTAGTTCGTGTATAAATACTCTCTAGAATATTATATTAGAAATAAGTTAGCGTATTATAAATAGTGTATTTTTCAGTATTTTTTTTTTTTTCTGTTAATATTCAATGCAAAAAAAAATAACTGTTTTCTAATACGCATTTTCCACGGTAAAATGATTTTCTTAAATTGCTTACCTATAAACAGACATCATTGATGAAAGTTATAATTTTCTAATTAATACCGACACGCTTATGTAGCACTTAACGGCACAATTGAATCACACACGCGTTTGAGCGATACTGTCCGCGTGCTTACCGTCAGCTTCTGTTTTGACGTTATCTTGAGTGCGTATAAAAGAGAAGAGAGAGAAAGAGATGGAACGCGGTAAAAAGCACTGCTGGTGGTGAAGCGGCGCGGGCGCATCGAGGGTATACAGTAACCACAACAACGGCTACTATGTTAAAACGGTAAAAATGGGACAAACAACGGAAACTAAAACGTGACAACGGAGATGACACGCGTTAAAACAACTTATGTTTTTAAAAAGTTAAAATTTAATTAACGATTTGGTTACTCCTCCGAGTTTCACGAATAAAATTTCTCTTTTACAGTGTCAAAATAAATAAAAATAGGTTAAGAGAAGTAAATACGCGTTTTAAATAAGAACCCACCTTGTGATGACACGCAAATGCCATTAAAACAAAATGACATGGATTTCATATTAAGAAGACGTTATTCTTATGCAAACGGTACCTTAATTTTATAAATTATATTTTTAGGACTTGAAGTTTAAAAAATACGATGATTGTTTATTTAAGCAGAAAGAGAAATTTATTATTTTAAATAAAACGCCAATAAAAATTGTGTACATTATATTTAAAAAAATAGAAATGTTCGATCTTCATAAGAAATTTTTATTTATGAAAAAACAAATTCTCTCATTGTATTTACATAAAACTATTACATGTGCATTTATAAATTTTGAAAAATATTATATTTCTTTGTAATTTTCTTTAATATATTAAACATAACAATATTTATACGTTGCATAGCACGTTTTTCCTAAAATTATACTTAATATTCTTCAAAACAAATGTGTACATTAATAATTTAATTCGTCATATTTTTAGAGCTTTTTTTAAATGTAAAGGTTTTATAAATTGAAACTAAATTATACTGATTTGTATTTATTGTTAAAATTTTAACTAAACCTATTTTTACTAGAGTCTTTATACTAACTTTTAATTATTTATGTTAAAATATTTTTTTAGTCTTGATATTGTAATATCATACTCGTTCTGGTTATTCTACTTGTTTATTAATTCGTTTGTGAAGTAAAATGTAATATAATGATTATGTTTATTGACATCTATCGATTCTATTGAGTTAATTTTAATCAATATAATGTCATTCATATTAAATCTATATAAAGATGGAATTGTCAAATGCAGACATTTTCAAGATCTTAGAAGTTTCAGACTTATTGAGGTGGCGTTTCACTTCTAATCTAGCATTAACACAAAACATTTATTATAAGTTTATAAAAATATTTTGTTTGAATTTTGAACCTATAAAATTGTTTTGTTTATGAATAATTTTATAAAAAATCATCATATTCTTCTTAGTCATCAGCAGGAAAATGTTCGTATTTTAATTCAGTATTAAACATATCTTTTACTACGTCTAAAAAATTTGAGTATTTACCTTTGACATCCAAAAAGTTTGAAAATATTCGCCATCTATGCGCCTGAAACATTCGGCTCATGATTCAAATAATTTGTATAGTGTTCACAATTTTCTTAAATGCTTGACATTTTTGCAATTCCTAAAATTTAAGATAGAAAAATAAATCATTTTTTTATTAGTCACCGTAAATTATTTTTGTGTTAATAACTTCATAAATATCATCATATATTGTTGATTTTACTAAACAGAATCATAAAAAATAATTTTTATGTAACATCTGTTATTTAATTATCGACTGGGCTGCTCTAATAAAATTTAAACAACTTGCCAATAAATGTATTACTGAACAAGTGTTCCATAAAAACACAACGAATAAGGTTCAACAAATGTAAGAGGTGAAATAGGCTTTTAAAAGAAATGTACTGTGTAGTTTTTATTTTTATAAAAATAAAAGGGTAAACTGAAACATAAATGTTAGCAGTAACTACCAACTGACAACAATGTGCTGTTATTGTTCGGCAGTAGGAAATTTTTTCATGGATATCAGTATATAAATAATCGTATACTACAAAACAAAATGTATCTCAATACATTTTAGTACTCTCTCAATTTTGAAAGTTAAATTTCTGGTTAGTTATAAAGCTTATCATTTTAGCTTCCGTGCGAATCTGAAAAGGTGTTATTTTACTATGATGCGATTTATTTTTGATTTTGGGTCTGTTATTAATTTTCTGAGCTCTCACTGAGCCGATTTCTTTCTACGATACGTTGAATATCATAAATAGTATCTAGTTGAAGACTTTACCTAAAAAATTTCCCTCAATCCCTGTAAATGTGACAAATCCTTCAAAAATTTATGACTTTTAAAATCAGTAAATTTCGAATTTTTAAAAGTGTTTTTACTTTAAACTCTTTCACTTTTAAAAAAATTTGTGTATCAAAACAATACCTTACTTATTTCCCTTTTATATATTATACTTTTTGGAAATCTTACTCTTTAACTGACCATGGGGAGAATCAAAAAAGCTACTGTTTATTGTAAATATGGACGAATTCTTATTTTCAATTTAAACTTTATACTACTATAACTCTTTAAGAATTTCATTGATACAGATTTTTTTATAGGAACCTAAGAATGTCCCTTTTATTTGGCATACTTTTATAATAATCAGACTCTTTTTCTTAATAGTTGGTGTTCAAATTTTAATAGTATAAAAGTAGAACTTTTTCAACTTAACTTTTAAAAATGTTTTGGAAAACCGAAATATAACATCTTAAAATATATCTTCATTTAAACATAATATAATATACTTCATTTTGAAAAAAACAATGACCCTTAACTTATATTCTAAGTAAATAAATATCGAAGACAAAGAAAATAGTAAAACTTTTAAGTTAAAACTCCAAATTATAAAAAACTTGATTAATTTTTTATAAAAAAACTTATATGATAAGGTTTTCATATAAGTTGTGTCTGNTCGAAATATAACATCTTAAAATATATCTTCATTTAAACATAATATAATATACTTCATTTTGAAAAAAACAATGACCTCTTAACTTATATTCTAAGTAAATAAATATCGAAGACAAAGAAAATAGTAAAACTTTTATGTTAAAACTCCAAATTATAAAAAACTTGATTAATTTTTTATAAAAAAACTTATATGATAAGGTTTTCATATAAGTTGTGTCTGCTCCATTTACGTATTAATTGAGAGTTAAGTTGGATGACCTTATTATTTTTTCGAAACTATTTATTTTTTGAATAAATAATTGAATTACACCTTTATAACTTTTTCAATAATATTTTAGAAATGTACCTATTATTTAATATATTTTGTTCAATCCAATCCCTTCCATTCCTAAAGGGGAATTCAAAATAACATAATTTGAATTATAAATGTAAATTTTCAACTTAACTTTTGAAAATATTTAGGGATTCCTTTCATTTAAGTCTACAGTTTATTAGAGCTTACGTAATTTACTTCTAGTTAAAAAAAATGGTATTTATTATTATAGTTATTATTTTCTATTAATTTTTAATTATTTATTCACACTATAACAATATAAAAATGTAAAATATAATAATAATTAAATGCTGTGGGTTTTAAATTTGACTACCCTGAAACAATTTTTGTACATACAGTTCAATTGAGTTGAGTATCACATTTTATAGAAAAGTATAGTTTTAAGTGTGGTAAAGACTTAATTTAAACTCCTACCCTTTTAAAAAATAATAATAATAATGATAAACATTTAACTGTTTGATTTTAATATTTTCTGGGACAATTATTGCCGTTATTTTTAAAGTAAACCTTTTCAATTTAACTGTTAAAAATTTTCCAGAAATACTCCAAACATTAATCATATTTTACATACTTTAAGTTTAAATAATTTTGTTCCGACAACATATTTTCTCTATGTAACCGGCCCCCGAAATTAAATAAAAAATGTTACTTTTGTGGAATAAGTAATATACTTTGTGAATTACATTACAAAGTAATAAAATTAAATTTATTACCTGTTGATTTATAAAAATAGTACAAAAAACTTAGCTTTGATGCAAAACTAAAAAGATAATTATTTTATTATGACGTGTTCATTTATTTATAAGAACCTTAGGTAGTTTTCATTTGGTAGAAATATTTAAAAATCTGATACTTTACTTGCCAATTGGGGGGGATTTTAAATAGTAACATTTGCTTATAATGTTAACTTCTTCAATTTAACTTTAAAAAAACTTAGGGGGTTTTTGTTTACAAAAAATAAATATAAATTAACAATAATGAAAATAAAAAATTTCAACCATCATGAAACAAGAAAAACGTTTCTCAAATAAATATTACTCCTTAAGAAATTGTTCTTACAAAGTTTAAATCAATTTTTATTACTGACTTTAAATATTGTGTAAGCTAATTTTTCAATTTAAAACTGTTTTAATAATCCATAAAACGCTACTTAATGAAAAATATGAAATTCCAACAGCTAATTAATTCGTTTCTTTAGACAATTTAATATACAATAAATTTCTAAATATATTAAAAATTATATTACATAGTTATAAAAAAACTGTAAAATTTTTATCATATTTTTGTTCATTCAGTTAAAGATAGAACGATCCTTATAACATATTCCATATTTTTTAAATTAATTAATTCAATAGATTCATTTACCATTGAATTTTTTTTTATAGTTCTTTTTATCATCTATTTAAAAATATTTCTGCAATCAAATAAATTTACACTGCAGACATTACAAATTTTCCGACACAAAACTTTTATCAGAGATTAGTGTAATGAAATGAGATATGAACTTTATGGATTATTTATTTATAATATGACTACAGAGGATGGAGAGAAGGAATAAACATAATACTATATAATCTCATTTGTAATAATTTAGGTGTGGCTTACATGAACAAAACTGAACGCTTTGAACATAATGTCACAATGCAACTCATAACAAACGAATACAATATTATAACAAAGGACTATACCTGGGTAAAGTAATTATACGTTTTTACAAGCTAATAAAGCTACAAAATATCAAAATTTATCAAAAAATTAAAATATTAAAACTGAAATATGCTATTAATTCAATATGAAAATGCATTTACAATTAATTCGAGTTATAACATTTTTGCATAAAACAATCAATTGTTAACTTCACTATAAAATAAATTATTATTAATGAATGTTTTTTATA